AATTGATCAGAAAGTTCAAAGCAACAGCACGTTGAAAGAATAGAGTAAGGGTGGAGCAGAGTCAGTGTTCACTGCTAATCTAAAAAAAAAAGGCATACGAATGTTGAACCTTGGGCAGGAGTTTTCTCTCAGCCTCGATTCAACACCAACGGCAACAGTGTTTTTATTAAAACAACTAAATTACCTGTTTAGTTTAGTGGAGCGTGAATACAATTTCGTTATGCTCTGAAAAAGGCTTCGACAAACCGAAACCTCCCTCCACGAATATGCAGATTGGCTCCTCCTCATTTGTGAGGAAGCCTGCGTGCCTTTTTTGATTTTTTTTATTAAACAACTTTTTGATTTTCCCCCCTCTGTGCCGTGCATGTGGCTGCTGTGCTTTTCTGCTGGCCTCTGATGTGTTGAGGTCTGTGTTGTTTCTCTGCTCTTTCTCATTTCTCTACTGGTGTCTCTTTAGTCTGCTGTGTCTCTGTACTGCTAGATCACTGGGTTTCTTCTTCACATATGATATTGTGATTCTTTATATGTGCACCATACATCTCTGGATCTGTTGTGCTGGCCATGTTGAGAGAGAAGAAAGTGGGGCATAAAAGTAACTGAGCGTTCTTTTGGGAGAAACAAACAGTGGAAGACCTTGTTTTCTGTTTTTTTCTATGTTTGTTTTTTCTCTCATGGGCAGTTTCTGTGTCTCCATAAGGTTTGTTTCCAGTTTTAAACCATGCTCTTTTTCTTTATTTTTTCCTCTGCTATATGAACTCACCCGTACTAGCTTGGAAATGGTCCTGAATCGGGTTTTCTGGAAATCAGCATCTGATCAACATAATTAATAGAAGCTAAACATTCAGATGCAGAAATTTGTTTTTTGTTTTGTTTTTTCAGAAGTAAGCTCTGTTGGTTTTTGCATCAAAACAGTGACTAATTGGAGATGAATTCCCAGACAGACATTTTTAAGAGGCGGTAATGAAACGTAAAAATGATTAAGTGGAGTGGATGACATGTAACTTTGAAATGGTTGTTGGGTCCCCTCCTGTCGTGTTCTGCACAGCTGACTCTGCCACTTCCATCTTTACACCTTCACCACTTATGCTTGAATTTCCACTTTTAACAAGACAAGCTGCCCTCTAGCAAGATAACACACATTAATGCACTTACTGCAACGCAAGTGGTGCATGCGAAGGTAATATTGACTAAAGTGAGAATGAGTAGCAGAGTGTCCCCAAGGAGCAATGTGTCCTTGATGCAGAGATATGTGTAATCTGTTTTCTGCTCCATTTCTAAAAGAAAGCCAACTCAAAATGTTCCAGGAAGCCAATTTCTTCTTTTCTTATATTGAGTAGCAAGTATTGCATTAGCTCAATGCAATTTTTTTTTCTTAGGGTAGATGTGAAATGGGTCTCACAATTGCTATGTCAAGATAGGCAGCATGTAACATCAAATAGACACTGCCTTTACTTCTGTCACTCTTTACTTTGAGTTGGAGAAAATGAGGGCACCGTTATGTAAGGTTGTCATCGCGTCACCGATAAAAATTTCATTCAGTTCCCATACCTCTGCAATCACACACTGAGTGCAGGGAAAATCCTGCTTTATTTTATCACCATGAGCTGTCCTGCCATCTGTTAGCATTCACAAAGTGACCAAATGGATTTTTTTGTGTGTTTATTGTTCACTAGTGGTATTTCGATTCATCCAGTTTTTCAGCTTTACCTGTTTTGTGCAGCAGAGTGAGACAATTGGCTGGAGCCTCTCCAGCTAAAATAGAGGGAAAGAGTTTGGGATTTCATCGTTATAAAAGCATGAACAACTGTTGGATGTGGATGTTTATATTAGAACGCATGTAAAAGATCCCACTCCTTTTGATAAAAGATAAAAAAAAGTTTAGTTTAGTTTATGAACATTTCTCATCTGAGAAATTAAAGACCTGTTTGATTTCTTTAATCCCTCAGCAGAAGGGTTATTGTGATTTATGTTTCTATAAGATTTTTATGCCCAGAGGTCCCATCTGTTTAACTTATGATACAAAGGGACCTATCAAATATTCTTACTTAAAAAGCAGACCGGGCTGCTGCTCCCTGTTACCCTCAGCAAACTGAGGTTGTGCACCAGCTGCGTTGCATGAGTCGAGGGACCGAAATTCTCAGAGCAATTAGTTCTTATTATGCCTTAAAAAAGTTCATCGTGTGTATCGGAGATAAGTTCACAAATAAATAGTGCAGAGGGATGAAACGGTAGTTGAACTTGCCACGTCTGGACTAAGATTGGCTAGTGCCTCCAGTCAGATGCTTATGTTTTATACAGAATAGAAGGCCATGATGCTTCTGCCCAGCTTCATAGTTGGTTCTGTCATAATTTCCTGAAACCCCTCTCAAAAAATTATATTTTTTCATACCAGCGTGGGGCTATTTTGATTGACACTTATCATTGAACACCCAGTGTTAAACATTTATTTCTGGTGCCTAACTTTGGTGGACAGCTAACAGGCAAGTCTGTGGATTTGTTGCCTATTTTATACAATGTTCTTAAAGTTCTTACAGAGAGTTTTTCAGTTCGAGTAAGCCATTGACATTTGAGTTTCCTGTCATACAGATTCTCAAGCCAACAACCCCAGTTTACATGTCCTCTGCTAAAGGTTCCAACCGGAGATACCCTGAAAACAAAACAAAAAAGGCAGGATATAGAATAAGGTGATAGAGATGAGCTTCTAATGAGCCAAAAAAACAGCCACGCTGTGTATTTTCTGTATTGATGTTGTGTGAAAGCAAACGAGCAAGACAGGAGAGGAGTGCTTACAAGGGATATTTTAGTTGAGACAAATAATTTAAAAGTGAGTCGATATATGAATTCCCTACCAGTGTTTGGGAACCCCTTTGCTAAATGGTTCTCATGAAGCTGTTGCCTCTGCATGTTCAGGATTCCCAACAGTAGTTTCCTCCCTGTAAAGAGAGGGACCGGTCCTCTACTTTTCCCCTCCATGTCCCACTGCTTCTCACTGAGATAACATCACACATAGCAGGAGCTACTCCCTCATTGGTTACTGGTCTGCTATGAGCCTCCATGTCCAGCCTGTTGTTTTATCATATTATGTTTCATTTCTGTGATGTTGCACTTCCTTGCTAAACTATTCTGATCATAGAATAAGGCAGGACTGTCCAGTCATTCATCCTGTTGGCTGGAACGAAGCCAAAACCTCTCAGCAGTTCCAGGGAGCCCTGCTGTTCATTAGGACAGTATAACATTTATCAACCTCATTTCATGTCACAGTTGTTTGCCAACAATCACACAAATTAGCTTAGTATTGCCCTGTGAATATGCATTTAGTTTTCACAAGAGTACATTACAAAGTTTACACCAAACAGACTGGTCCTAGTTAACTCTGAGGGACTGAGTTCTGCCCCGCTTTGGGGAAAATATCCCTGGTTCGTTTATGGAACGAATACACTTGGCATTTATTTTCCATTCTGAGGCCCTGATCAAAGTTAAATCAAATTTGGGGAAATTCTACTTCAAACTGGTCTCACTCCTCAGCTGCAGATTGGTTATGTTCTCACACTCAAACCAAGCATGGATCAACCAAAATATTCTAGCTGTTCTAACTCTCCCTGTGGGAGGTCCTTGTAAATGTGCACCATGTTAGCAGTTTAGCTATCATGGAAGTAAAACAGAAACACTGTAATTGAGAGCAGCTTTAATGGGATTTGGCTATATTTACATGCTTTAATGTTTTAAGAAAAAGTTAAAAGATGTAACTTTTGGAGGAAGTATAGTTTAGTTGCAGAAATATTTATGGGAGGGCTTGAATCCTTTGCCACATGATCTGGGTGTGTTAGATTAGTTCTCAGAAGCTCATTGTTTTTGCTTGTTTTTCAGCATGTTTTCCATGTTTTTCACAAATTAGTTGTTTGTTAGACTAAATCAGAAATGATTTCTTCTTTTTGTCATGTAAACAGTTTGATATGATGGCCACAGGAGTTGAAGTCAAACCTCGAAGAGTAAAGATGTTTTTTTTTAGTTTCTCTGAGATGCCATTCAAGTCTCTGCCTGGAGGTCGTTTTTGTCTTGTTTGTTTTCCCTCTTTTTCTATAAGATCATCGTATCGTACAGACTTACAAATAATCAGGCTCCATGACAGTACAACCAGAAAAACAGAAATATTTCTACTTGTGCTCTAACTAATATATTACAGAAGGAGGAAGAGAAACTTCCATCTGCAGTGCCAATATTTGAGGACACGGCCTTTGTGGTGGAAGACTCGACATAAACTTGGTTGATTTTGGCACAGCAGCAATAGAAAAGTTCAGTGAGTTGTCAAGCTGTGCAGCAGATTTTGGTTTGTGATAAAGTCTTCTTCCTGAAATCTTGTTGCAATTAGTGATTCCAGTCTTAAGCTTTCACAGACTTCTAGTGTTAGATTTACTGAAGCCCCTCCTCACTCGAATCCCTCCTTCTTCTCTCAGTGATGATGGCCTCTTCATTTTTTAATGTTGCTTCCCTTCTCATTTTTTTTTCTGCTGGTCACAGTTTGTTCCCTTCACATCTCTTTGACCTTCTGCTGTGTAGCACTGAGCTTTGGCTTTCAAGACTTACCACATTTTTGACAAGTGCAGGTAACAGAGTGCAAGGGTTAGTTATATTTGGACAGAAGACATAGACACAGCCTGCTTGTAATTTCTGTATCCAGGTCAGTAGGAGGGAGACTTTTTTATTCATCATTGAGAACACATATTTGCACAGTAAGCGTTGTGTTTTCTTTTTAAAGGGCCATAGCCTGCTTTTAGCAGCAGTGTGAGGCTTTAATTGCAGCCTAGTACCGACAGATGTCAGATGGTGGCGTACGTGTGAAGATGTGAAACAGATTTCAACATGTGACATCAGAAATACCCCTCTCTCTATGATGCTGTCATAGTGTTTCTGAACATTACGCAGTATCAAATGGATGACTGGGAAAAATTTTGAAACCTTATGTATTGATATCCTCCACCAGATTTGAGTGGGATGCTGAAATGGGTCGCTCTGTGCATGAGGAAACAAAAGGAAGCCCACTAGGTGTGTGCATATGGATGTCTTCACTTGAAGGAGACTGACTCTTTTCATTTTCTATTTTGTACAAAAGGAAAGAGAAGAGCTCAGGTGAGCTGCTGAAACGGGGAAACCGTTTTCAGTTGGTAACGGCCACTTTTTCTGAATGGTTAGCTTCTGAAAATGGAAATTAGGAAAAAAGTTAAATTGAATATAATATAAAGAAAACAAACTTTTTAAATCCACTGCCAAAAACCCCCAGTGAGATTTTTTACTTTTGCGTTTTTTTTCATGATTCTGTATCAGAAAGTACAAAACACCTGGACAATTTGTTCAACATTAAAGTGACCACACAGATGGGGAGATAGTGCCATGTGCTGTAATAACTCTCAAGATCGTCACGGTTCTATGCTGATTACAGGCTGGAAAGTTGCTTTTATTTATTTTATTTATTTTCTGGAGGACACACTGTTGGGTCCATTTTTCTATTGGGGAACAGGCTGGTAAACTGAAATAAACCAATGGATGAATGAATCATCAATCCATTTTCTGTACCTCTTATTCCCAACAGGATCGCAGGGTGAATAAATGAAAATTGTTAAATAATTTTCATGATAAATTATTTTGAAGCACTCCTGGCTTGAACCAGAGAATATCTGAATGTCAGAATAGTTTATTGTGGTAGTTTGATGTGGCAAAAGAGTCTCACAAGCACTTTAAAAGTTTAAAACTTGATTTTTGTTGTCTCTTTGTCTGATTTTAAAAGTTGTTTCATGTCTCAGCTTTATGAACATAAATCCTGCTCATAACTGAAGGTGCAAAAAAAAGATCATCAGTTTGCTTGTGAACAGGATTGTTTGATTAAACTTCTGTTTGTGTCTCTGGCAGGTGCATGGTGCAGTCAGGTGGTCGTGCCAAAGAGGGTGAGTGCCGTTCTGGGGAAGAATGTGACTCTGGAGTGCAGGGTGGAGGTGGGCACCAACCTGACTCTTACCCAGAGTTCCTGGGAGCGCCGTCTGCCTTCAGGCTCCGTCACTGTGGCCGTGTATAACCCAGAGTTTGGCACGTCCATCCCTCCGGAGTATATCAATCGCCTGTATTTTCGCTCACCTTCATCTCATGATGCCACCATTGTACTGGAAAATGTGGTATTTTCTGATATTGGGATTTATACCTGTAAAGTGGCTACATTTCCTCTGGGAAACACCCAAGCCTCCACAACTGTCAATGTTCTAGGTAAGTACGAGTTTTTTATTTTTCTTCTTTACTGTCACAAAGACAGTTATTTAGGAATACACTAGACTACACAGATTTGAAAAATGGAAAATGTCAGACAGTATTCCACTGATGAGATCATTCTTAATTTTATCTGTGAATATTTTGTTTTTTTGTTGTTTTTTTTATCTCCCATGCCTGACTCCATTCGTTTGGTACTTAACCTTTGTCCAACTTAGAATTATATACAGGAAATGCTCATAGACAGTAGTCCACAGCAGTTATCAGTTTGATCCATGGTTCAGGATGTGGATTGTTCAGAATTTTGGACCATTAAGAGAAAGTCAAATTTGGCTATAGCCTAAAAATCAAAGAACTATGTTTCTACTATTTCTGGAAATGGAAGGAGACCAAAAAACACTCCTTTTTTTCCGTTTAAAGGTCTGCTGCAAGTCATGGCATTGGGGAGCTTTTGTTTCATTTGTATGCAACAGCAGGTCCAAGGGTTGTGTTTTCAATTTGCTGAGGGAATTACCCATTTTTATTTGGATCTGAAGTTGCCACTGCCCACTCAGACACAATATGTTCGGTCTGTTTGGGTGGCTGGAGCTTGTAATGATGGGTTGGGCTCACTTCTCGTAGAATAACAGTGACAAGAGTGTTCATTATAAACTCAATAATGCACAATGAACAGAAGTGTAATGTTAACCTTTCAAAAAATCAGTTATCTGTGTAAATTCACATAGTTTCTTACATCCCTTTTATCTCGATATACAGTTGAACCCAAGGTCTATGTGTCTGCTGGTTCCACGGCTCTGATCGACGGGGGCAACGAGACGGTGGTGGCCACCTGCATCGCGGAGCGAGCCCGCCCCCCCGCCGAGGTTTCCTGGGAGTCCAACCTCTTCGGCAAGTCAGAAGTGCAACTGTTTGACGACGTCAACGGCACGACCAGCACACGGGTGCGATACATCTGGCAGCCCACGCGCCACGTCCAGGGCCACGAGCTGGCCTGCATCATCCGCCACCCGGCCCTGCAGAGCGACTTCAGGATCCCCTACCAGCTCAACGTGCAGTGTACGTGACTCATTAGCTGCCACGCGAGGGAAAAGATGTATCACCTGGAAGAAAGCAAGCAAGCATTTCTGTACACGCCTCTCATTTGTTTTAATTACGGCGGATTTTTGTTGTTTGTTTGGTCAAAATAAATGACAAAAGGGGATAATATGACTTCAGTGACAATCAGACAAATGCAAACCAACAGAGAAGCTACAGTTTAACAAAAGGGTATTGAAATGCAGTAAAAGATATTTTGGTTGTAATTTACCTCATGGTTTATAAACATGAAGATATTATGGAACTTTTTTTTTTTTTTTCAATGATCATATTCATCAGATTGTTTAGCCTCTTTACCTGTTTGAATAATGAATTATAGGCTTGTGCTCCATGACTGATCTACTACATTTACAGTGCAACATGCCAATTAAAACCACTCACACGTGAACACTAGGGATGTGTGGACAGTTTGATCCCGTCTTTCTTCAGAGTAGCTGTTTGCACAAGCTTTCTGCAGAGGACATGCTCTCCCAGCTGGAAACGTTAGGGAATTGGTGTGGAGGAACAAATGCCTAAATTGAGCAGGAGGCACAGTATAATGCAGAAATGTAGCTATGAAATCACATTTTTTGTTCCTTTTTTAAGGTTTTATTCCACAATTCAATCAGAATTAACGACAAGATGAACGCAGAAAAGACGTCAGCAGAGCAAGCATACATTTTCTGTGGCATGTATATTGTTAATTGCCATATCATTACATTCTTTAGCTCTGGCTTGTGAAAGGGGCTCAAATACAGTGTGTAAAATATTTAACACATGTGAATTTACCTTAGGAAACATTTTTTAGAACTTGAGTCAAGTGAATTTGCTAGAAATACTACAATTGTATTTTTTCCTGTTTCTTGCCATTTTATGTTTCTACTCAAACTGGTTGTGTTTGTTTTTTCTTTCTACAGTTGCTCCCGACATCTCTGTTGTAGGGTATGATGGAGACTGGTATGTTGGCCGTGAAAACGTTCAGATGACGTGCAAAGCCAATGCAAACCCACCAGCTCATCATTTCCGATGGATCAGGTGTGTGCATCGGCCTGTCTGTTCTCTCATTGGCGGATGTTGGCTCAACTCTGGGGACACTGAAACTGCTGCGGTAGTCAGGGGTATTTAAAGTTGTACTGTCTTCAAACTATTTCTGTAAATGGTCTTTTGAAGCCATTTTAAATTCAGATTCAGGGACACATTTAGAGGCATACTGAACTGAATTGAATTAAGAAAGTGTATAGACCCTTAACAGAATAGGCCCACTTTAGCTATTCAGACAATTTAATTGTCAAAAACTATTCAAATGATTGTGCACAATTGTAGTTTTTCCATTAAGGCTGCGTGAGATGTCACAGCTGCATAAGCTTATGACAAAACATTGTATCTATGCATCTCCTGAGAACCCAACTCTGTCTTCTGTATGTCACAGATTGGACAGTGAAATGCCGGAAGGGCTGGAAATCATAAACAGCACGTTGCTCTTCCTGCGTCCCCTCCAGCGGAACGACTCTGGAGTTTACAGGTGTGAGGTGGCCAACGACATCAACCTCCGCAGCCGTGACGTGCGCATCCTCATACAAGGTGAGCCAAGTGTGCACGATTGAACGCGGCCGACTCCGGTTGCCTTCCCTTAGGAAGCACTGTGCATGCGTTCACGTCACAGAGGGTATCACGGCCTGTGACATTGTCCTTCAAGCTGAAATGTGACACTGTCTCCCTCTCACCCACTGAGTCCTCTCCGGCCATCGCCTCCAGTACCGTGTGCTGGCACTGACGTTGGATCTGGTCCTGATTGCATGCTGATTAGCTTTGATTAACACGAGGACCCCAGATGTTTAAACGGGGTGTTCCTGGGCCAAACGTCTGGTTGTGTTTTAGTCCCCGTACACCCGGGAACCGCCTCTGCTCCGTGCTGCTCGCTTTCTGTCCGTCAGGTCGTGTGTCCGATGTAAATGATGAGCATGCTCCTCTGGTTTCACAAAATGTCTCATGCTTCTGGAAACGCTTTTTCTCGTGGAATTTCTGACCGTGACGTGTGTGCGTGTTTGTTTGTGCGATTTGTTGCTTTTCCCTTTTCTTGCCTTCTTTTATGTGCGTTTTATTTTTGCATGTGTCATGCAGTAAGAGGCAAAAGCCTGCAGCCTCACTGTGAGATGATGTCCCAGATTCATAAAACATTAACTAGTCCTTTTCAACTCCTATTTATTATTTATCACCCATATTTTATTTTCATTTGAGCGGACCTGAATGGGTGTGCTCGAGTGCATGTATGTGGGTGTGCCTTTCATTGTATGTGTTGTTGTGGATGTGCTGCCGTCGGTTCACTGCATGAGGTTGTACATATGACACAGTTAGAGACTTAATGGTTCAGATCTGTAGTTGTGAAGCCTTGCTTCACATCTGGCCCTGCACTGAGGTTAAAGTAGCACAGCGCTCTTGAAGCTCCATTAAAGCTTTTCAGCTCAGATTCTTTCCATTGCTGAAGCTGTTTATGATTATAGCCTTTGGCTTGTCTGTTTGTGGCTATAATCACTAACCCATTTTATCTGAAGGCTGATGTTCTCTTCATTGCATAGCGAAAAATGAGGTGACAGAAATAAGTACATTTATGTACCATTTTGGGCATGTAGGTGCAAAGAATAACCCCCATTTACCAGAATTATTTAAGCAGTTTTACATTCTTTTAGAGTTGAAAAGCATTCTGAGCAGTGGGCTTTATCTTCCTTAGCAGTGAGCTTAGAAGAAAAAACGGTTTCGAACCATTGTTATACAAAATGGTTGTTGTGGCTGACTTTGAAATTTAGTCCAAGTGATATTTGGGGAATTGGTTGCCTTGGGATACCTGTAAAGCGGTGGACCATGGCCAAATCTAGTTGTAAATGCATATTAAGTCTAATTAAATCTAACCAATCACAGAAAAACCACTGTATCAAAACACCATTGTTGTGGTAGTTTCCAAAATATTTCCAATAGCAGCCAAGCTGTGAACACAGGGATTTAAAAAATATGACTTTGTGGGGGGGAAATCAGTATTTGTCGGGAAAAAAAAAGTTATTTTAAACTGCAGAGTTTGTTGTGAAATTAAAAGTTCGAGTAAACTGTTCAACTACTGTTTTATTCATTGCTTTAATCTTTGTGTAAATGGCAGATATGTATATGTGGGTTGTAAAATATCTTTACTTATAATTGATATATAACTTTGCCATGTGCTCTGTATCTACAAACCCACCCTCCAGAGAGTTAACCCCAGCAGATTATGGGAGCGGCCTCTGGCTGCAGTCTGTAGGAGCCTCGGTTGGATATACAACTCCTCCCACATCCATGTTGGCCATTTTGATTAGGTCATATGACTAGAAGCTTCCTGAGGTGGAAATGAATCTTTACTGTCTACACGAAATCGGAGGACAAACGATGTCCTAACCCTAACCTTCCACCCTAACCCTAAACCTTAACCTAACCCTAACCCTCCACCCTAACCCTAAACCTCCACCCTAAACCTAACCCTGACCCTAACCCTAACCCTCCACCCTTCATAACTGTGAGAAATTAATATTTTTTGGTTAAACTTGTTTGAACTTATTGTACAAACCTATTTAACATTCACTATTTTAACACAATATTATGTATAGAGTTTAATTAAGTGTTTGCAATATTAATTTAACTATTTTTAAATGAATCTCTATATTGCCATGAAGCAATTATGATTTTCTTGCCTGGGATCTTCCTATTGGTGACCTAATCAAAATGGCCGCCTTGGATGTGGGCAGAGTTGGATGTCCATCCCTGGCTTCCTGCAGTCTGCAGTGAGATGTACTTGGATTATGGTAGATTTCCAATTGCTGCACCTCATTATACTTGAGAATCGTTTCCATATTTGAGGAATTCATTACAGCTGTAGTCACATTTTTCCTTTCATTGAATTTTAGATTTTTATGTCTGGCTTACTAATCGTATCACAAACCTGAAGCACGAATAGCATATACACCGTAGTACGTGATGTTTGTTTAGTTTTTTTGTCAACCTCTCCCTTCCTAGTGAAATGTAGTTGACATTGACATTCTTTGCCTCTGTCTGTTCATCTCTCCCTCTCACTCTCCATTCCCCCATCACCCTCCTTCCCTCCATTAGATCCTCCCACCATGCCTTCCACCATTACCGCTCCTGTCCTAACCGGCCCTTCCTCCTCCACCTTTGTGGTCGATAAAGGCCTTGTCCTTCTGAGCGCCCCCACGCTCCGGGCCCTGCCGGAAAGTAACCTCGGTTCCATAGTGGGCGGGGCCGTGGGCGGGGCCTTGTTCCTGCTGCTGCTCTTATCTCTGGTTGGCGTTTGCTACCTCCGGAAACAGCAGACTTTTCACGGCAACTACTACACAAAGCAGTACCTGGGCCCCACTGACCTCCAGAAGGCCCCCACGCAGCACGAGCTCCGCCCCACCAAAGCCGGCGGCGGCCGGGACCACGACCGGGAGGAGTGGGGCGGCCGCGAGCTCAAACACGAACGCGACCGCCGTCACCGTAGCAACTACGACGGAGACGAGTATCCCGTTAACGGATACACGAGGGCCATGAGGGAGAGCGGCCGGCTCGCCAAACAGCAGAACCACCAACACGAACGACACGAACACGCAAAGTATTCGAGCCCGCAGCAGGCCAGATGTGCCCGATACCCTCGGCCCCCCAAACCCCAGGGGAACGGCGCCCCCTACCTGTCGGATGACTGCTACGATAGCGGGGCCGAGGGCGATTATGTGTCCCATACAGATGGCTCTGTCATCTCACGTAGAGAGTGGTATGTTTGACAAGCCTGGCCGTTCTGCAGAGGCAGAGCAACACGGGTTTTGTTTATTTAATTAGGAAAAAAACACCTTCTTTCTCTTCTGTATGCACACACACACACAGACATACTAGGCTTTTTTGTGGTTCACTCGTTTTGTTCAAGCATGCAGGTTTACACTTGTGGTAGGAAGATGTTCTTTTTATTGTGGGTTTCTGCATGTGTGGAAATGAACACAAAAGGAATAGTTTGTGCTGTCGCTGCCTTAATACGTGGATGGCCACAGTTAATTTAACATTACTGATGGCCTAAGTCGAAGCCTTGGGACATCCATATCGCAAGCAGGTGCATAAGAAGTTGTTTTTCTCTCTGCAAAGACCGTCTTTTCTGGTAATGTGAAGCTTGACCATTCCATGCCAATTCCTCTAGCCATTAAAAAATACTGGATTTTATTCATTAAATTAGTCTGAAGATTTCATGGGTCTTGCAAAGTCCATTTACTAAAGCACAACTACAAGAAAAAATACATTTAAATTCAGTTTTTTAAGAATTTGACTTTAGAGCCTAATTTGCTGATAATGAATCTCAACCCTCAGTAATTTGTAACTGTTTTGCTTTGACATTTATGGCAAATATTGATTAAACCTTAAGGATAATTTGCGCCTGATTATTTAAAAAAAAACAACAACCCAATAATCAGCATCTCCATCAGTCGTGCTTTATATCTCTATCAATGCTGTTTTGACCTGCGTTATTTATATGACCTTTGGTAAAACAATAGCTTTGAATTAACAAATATAAAATTAATCCTATTGAAAATGGTGACTTTCTAGTTTGAAATATCCCTTAAGGTTTCATAGATATTGAGCAAAACATATCGATCCAATTCAGTTAAAATAAGAAATTACTGGGCTTAAGAAATATCGCAAATGTGATTTAATGTTACTCTAATGGCCAAAGCTAAAAAACATATTTTCTAAAAAAATTTTTTTATTTAAAGTAAAGTTGTAGAAGTTTGTCAAGTCACACTGACCTCAGATGTGGAATAAAACCTGAAATGGCCTGTGAGGGGAATTGGTATGGAATGTGTCTCCTGTGTGTGGTGCTGCAGTACAGGGTATACACGGGGTCATGAGTTATCCCACATGAAGTGCATCACATCTAGAAGTTTTCTTCATCTCTGTTTGTTTTCCCCGTGCATTCCTTTACCTCTCACGGACTGGTACGAAATGCCTTTAGTGAATTGTCTGGTTAGGAAGGGACTTCATCTCATTCGCGTTTTCACTTTGTCCTATCAAATAGCAGAAGAAATGTGAGAAAGTGGAATAGACAAACACTTAAACGTCACATATTATAAAAGTGTTTCATCCTCGGTTGGACAGGCAGGTTTGAAAATAAGAATATATGTAGATGTGTATGAATACTTATCTGGGCACCACTCCACTGTTGTTCGTACGTGTTAGCGTCCACCCATTAGCTCACAAAACCTCTGAACTGTTAACAGGATAGCTGATATTCAGGATTTATGTAGAACCCACAGCTGGAGATGAATTCATAATCTTATTATTTTCCCAAAAACTCACTGCAAAACGGCAGTCATTACGTTCTCATTTCTTTCAGAGGGTTTATCCCCCTGACTGACATGTATACACTCAGATAGTATAAGAAGTATTGAAACAGAGCTTTTTAATGGATGCCGCACTCATTAGTGTAGTTTTCTAGACTTTTTTCCTCTGATGTAGATCATGGTGGAAGGATTTTTTGCTTAAGGAACTTGACCACTGAATGTCCTGGTGATGTGTGAACCTTGAGAGCATTTTTCCTGCATGTCCTCGCTCCTCTTATCATCGGGAGAAAAGCACTGGAGAAAGGTGCACACTAACAGAGTGAGTTTTTCTTACAGGTCAAGCCTTAATATGCATTAAATGCCACAAATCCGTCCAAGTTGAAATAGCAGGGATAATATTTATTCAGTTTAAAGCTTCTTTCTTCTTTTTTTTTTTAAGAAAGTTTTTGTGTGATTTACTGACTTCTGGGAAGAGTTTCAGGTTAGTTCTCCTCGTTAATTGGCCACATATGTCCACATTTCCTCTTTTCTATCAGATAATGGGTCCATTTGAGGATATGAACACTGGCACTAAACCAGGGCTCTTGGAAACTCTGGATCTCTCTCAGCAGGGTATTGTTTGAAGCAGGCTACTGTACGGCAGCCACCATACGATGGCCTCCCAGCAACAAAGTGTTTAGTTGCACAAATAAATCATTTAGAAAGTAGAATCCTCCACTCTTCAGCATTGATGCTTTAACGTCTCTACCCAGAGTCTGTCACAATGACGATTTGAGGTATTAATAGGCATAATCCTCTGCCATTCCCTTGTTCTTCAAAGGTTCAACATTCAGTTTTGTAATTATAGAAAATCATGGATTGTGGAGACGCATGGAGTCATCTTAAGGTTTTATTTTGGTGATTTCTCATTGAAACCTGTTGGCAAGTGTACTTTTTTACTTTCATTTACAGCACTGGGTCATGAAGTTGTTCAGGTTTAATCATATTGAAGCTAGATTTTTTTTTATTTTCAAGCGCATTAACTCTCATCCAGTCTTTTCGTACTGTAAAGGCTCAAACATTGCAGGATGTACCAAGTACTGTGACTGAGCTGAGGAGAAGATGTCTCTTTTTCTTTTTTTTTCTTTTTATAAATATATAAATATATATACTTGTTAGTATTATTGGGCTGTAGAGTCCCAGTAGTTCAGGTGTCAAACATTGACTAAGCTATTATGGATGTAGTAAGGAAGTCTTTTTTTTTTCCTTCTTTTTTTCTTCTGTACAAAGAAAAAAACTCTAGTGTTTTGGCACTAGCACCTGTTCACCACACTGTACGGAATAGATCCAACTATTTCTTTCCTGGACACCAGTTGTGAGTGTATGCCAACCTCAGTCGTGTGGTCACCTTTCCAGTGTCTGTGGCCAGATGCCAAATAACTGTTTAACTTGTATTTAGAATTAGGATAAATGTCTAACCTAAGTATTAATAGGTAGCAGCTGACCATTAGATAAACAGATAACTAATGGATCACTGTTGTGTACAGGGTAGTTTGAAGGTAGAAAAAGAAACTTTAATAGCGCAGTAGCAGATGTTCAAATGGAAATCGTCTTACTGATTATTTGTCCAGTAGTGAAGCTCGTTTAGGCTGAGATTCAAATCCTGAGATTTGACAAAGAGCCGCTGCAACCGATGCTGTGCAGTAAAGTAGACGTAATTCAGCTCTTTAGACAAAAGGTGCACATTTCACAAACCTCCTGATGGTTCACTTTAAAAAAAAAGAAAAAAAAAGAACTGACCTTTTACATAAAAAAAGAAGGTTTTGTATTGATATTGCCTTGTGTTGCAGATTGCTGCTGTCACCCCAGTACCACAAAGGTGTTTGGAATTTGTTCAAAGTAGTAAATATTACAAACTGCTGCTAACCCCTAATCCATGGGAAAAATTTGATTCATAGAAAGTTATATGCTAAGTTATTTCCTGTTTGATTTTTGTGTTTCTGTCATGAGCCCACAAACAACGTTCCATCCTCCTCTGTTGTATTGGGCTAAAAGGCAGAAAACTTGAGCAAATCCACCCCAATCAATCTTTCTACCTTTTAAAAAAAATATATATATATATTCTAGGAGTTTTCAAGGGAAATTTCGAGTTGCATAGCTTCAATCACCCTCAAAAATGAAAGCTATTTCCCGGGGTTTAGCCTGCCGCTGACCACCAGTTACTCCGTCTGTCGGGTTACTTTCACATAGAGACGGAAAATAACAGGAAGCACGGTAGTCCGAACCCCCTTTGTGTTTGCTTCTATGCACAAATTCCTCCAATCAATACACTATTTTTGCTTGGCTTGTCAATTTCCAGCCCTGCACCCAAATTAATGAAGTTCTTTTGCTCTGACATTTATGAAAAGGTCTGCCATCAGTGTCCATATCCTTATCTTTCAGTTGAGAAAAACTACTAGTGCCTTAGATACTTATAGAAAAGGGTTTTTTTTTGTTTGTGATGAGCTGATTCTGTTGCTGTATGAAATTGAATTTGTTGCATGTTTGATATGCTTTCACTTTGTGTCAGGAGGAATTCTTAGTGCCATGTTCACTTTTCTGTTCCCATCATTGGGACAGTCGGTGATACTGAGTATTTGAAAAACCTAGAGGCATTAGAAACAGACAAATTCAAAGTTTAACTGAATTTGGATGTAAAATGAGTTGCATATCTTTTTCAGAGGTATCTGTCAGGGGTTTTGTTTTTTTTTTAGTCGCTGTTCAATGGACTGAATAACCACCTTCAGTCTCTCATTGTCAGTGAAAATGCACCTTGTGGTCTTGTTTGTTTTTTTTGTGTGTTTGAATATGTATTATACATATAAATAGGAGAAAATGTAATATTCTAGAAAGGAAAAAAAATATTTATGTCAGTGACAGCAGTGGAGCGATTATTTTGTCAATCCTTTTTGAGATACTTTTTGTTCAATAAAGCACCTTAGCACCTGTGAGTTATTTTCTCTGGAGCCGTTTCGGTTTGCCGTTACTCAGACTGCTCCGTCTCAGCCTCTTTGTTCATCTATAAATGACATCATCTCTAGCTCCCCAACGCATACTGCTGCATAACACCCCCCCCCCTAAATCCAGTGTGTGTATTTGGGACGCCGAGCATGATGTAATCTTTTTTTTTTCCCTCTTCTTCTCATCTTTGATAGTTTTGTGTTACTTCTGATTTAGGTTATTCATTTCTTGCCTTTTCCATTTGGATCCAGCTGTATTGAACTGTGTCTGTCCACTGGTATTTCTACGGTCAGGCACTGGGAGGTGGGGGGTGGGGGGGGTTCAGCACCTCCTGTGTTTACTGTGCCCTCTTCACCAGCCCCAGTTTGCTTTGTTCCAGGACAGAGAAGCCCCCCCCCCCCCCCCCCCCCCTCTTTTTTGAACCCCCCCCGCCCCCCCCCCCCCCCCCCCCCCCCGTGTCTTCCTCCCGATGTCTACCA